AGTCTAAATACGTGCACTGCTTGATTGAATTGAAAGAAAGAAGAAAAAAAAAATGATGTGAAATTACTAACGTGTTGCACAACTGCAATGCTTCATTTATGAAAATGTAAGTGCTGAATCCACCATTGAAATCCTAGAAACAAAGTTTGACTTAGGACTCACAGAATACAAAAATAGTTCTGGACTTCCAAGAATCCAGAACTGTTCTAAATTTGAGTTCTATTTATCACAGCCCTACACATGAATAAAATGAAAGAAAATACTATGTACCACAATGAAATATTTTGTCGCTATGGCGAACTAGCAGCACCTGAGATTTGTAGAGGCATGGTGTTATATTATACTTTAACCTTATCTCGACAGGTCTTCCTATGGTCAGGGGTCAAAGGGCGTGTCATCATGTTTGTAGACTTAGATTCAAAATTTTATTCAACTATTTCATGAATGTATGTCAATAAGGTTGGTATCAAATTGAACATTAATTAATTTCTTATTTTAAAAGTAAATATTAAAAAGCAATTCCTACATATTGATTTTTGTGTGTCAGTAAGGTTGGTATCAAATTGTACATTTGTTAGTTTCTTATTTTAAAAGTACACATTAAAAACAATTCCTAAATATCGATATTTGTGTGTCAGGTGGTATATTGAATGCAGTTTGGTTCAAATTAGCTGTTTGTGATGTCCAAATACAAAGTCTATAGTTTCTAATAAATTGGAAACTAAAATTACCGATATTTACAAGCTAGAATATTAAATAAGAACTTCCTATCTTTTTTTATTTTCTGAGATGATATTATATTTTGTTAATCAACCAAGGTGGCTCTTATGTACATTTACTTCACCCTATAACATGTGTATAACCAATCAAAAGCTCAAAATTTCCGTCATGTGATTTTCTCAACCTCTGCGAAGTGTTTATGTGGAAAAACCTTCCTTTGTATGGTACAATTAAGCTGGAAAGATAGGAGATTATGGAGCTTGAAATATATTTTTGGACCAAAATACGGCTTAGTTACTAAGCCTGATAAATTGTAGTGGAATTCTGTGGTATTGGTATAATAATTTATGATTCTGTTGTTGTTTCAAAATGCATATATAAAACCTAAAATAATTTAGTTTTACATTCTCCATGTGTGAAATTTGACAAAATTTTTAAGTAGAAGAGATCTTTTTTTTCTATTTTTCTTTATTCACTGTTCTATGTTTTAAGACATAATAACTGAAATTTAAGAACTTATTTTTAAATAGTAATAATATACATGTGACTGTATTTTACAAAATACTGGTCCTCTAGAACAAAGTCAAGACAAGTCACTTTGTAAAGGCCAGTTTCATATTATTAGATATGGTATGAGTGCACGTGTGCTGCATCATTGCAATTTGTGTAATGTTAGTCAGACACAACTGAATGGTCAATAAAATAAGAATATTATATATGTATATATATATAATGTTAAGAGATTTAAACTATTTAATCTAAACATCTGTGGTTTTGTTTTAAGTTGTAGTGGTTCTAGAATGAAAAAAGAGTAATTCATATCTATTTCCTACTTACTTTATGGTGGTTATACAAGGTTGGTCAAATCGACCAAACCCATACTGAGATACATTACCGAAAATTACGGATGAAATATAATATTTCCAACTTTTTTATGGTGGTTATACAAGGTTGGTCAAATCAACCAAACCCATACAGAGATACATTACCGAAAATTACGGATGAAATATAATATTTCCAACTTTTTTTATGGTGGTTATACGAGGTTGGTCAAATCAACCAAACCCATACAGAGATACATTACCGAAAATTGCGGATGAAATATCATATTTCAAACTTTTTTATGGTGGTTATACGAGGTTGGTCAAATCGACCAAACCCATACAGAGATACATTACCGAAAATTACGGATGAAATATAATATTTCCAACTTGTTTTATGGTGGTTATACGAGGTTGGTCAAATCGACCAAACCCATACAGATATACATTACCGAAAATTACGGATGAAATATAAAGTTTTTCCTTAAAAAACGTTTGATAATTTTCTGGAGGTTATTAGGAGGCTATAAAGATTTTGCATGTGAAATTTGACAATTATCTGATGCATAAAAGCATGTTGGATAGTCAATATTTGAAAAACAAAAATGCACAATCAAATCATTTCTTAAAAAATCTGATATTTTGTGTATGAAAGCCTTGTAATATTTACTGATAATTGCAAAATTTCATGAAGATTAGTATACTGTATTAAAAATTATAGTATGAAAATGATAAGCTAAGAATGGTTACAAGGTTGGTTCCTGGGTCAAAGGCCATAGTGTGACAGTTAAAGATTGCTATGTTACTGTTAGAAAAAATATTATGTTGTCTTTACTAAAAGACATATCTATCATAATAATTAATATTGAAGTGAAAAGTCTTTAACCTGGGACCTCTGACAAACAACGGCAGTGCTCTAACCACTGAGCTACCTGAGAGTACAAGTGTACTGCGTACAACTTACAGGCGAAAACAGTTGTAGTCAGTTTGGCTTTGTAAAGTATTACATTGAATTAAGTGAGAATTATGCAGTTGTCAAAGTTTAAAAACAAAAAGTCAGTTTAAACCTGTTCAGTCAGAAGATCAGTTTGTTCAAAAGTATGTCC